CTCTTCTTCATTAGTTAGTCGTCTCCATCTTGAAGCATATTCAATAGTCAACTTAAAGGATGGTCGCATGGTAGATGGGACGCCGCTTCACATAGGACCGATCATCCGCAAGTTGCGCGTAGTGTTATGACCGATCACAGTTAAGCGTGATTTCGACTCTGCGACACTGGACGGATACAGTTTTATCTTCGGGAGAGATTGGCTACGCACAGTTAGTACTCCGTTCGATTGGGCTCAAGGAAGTTGTAGCGTCAAGGTAGATGGCGAGTCCCGGGAGCTGCCACAGTGGAGCGATGCAGCCACATCCTCCACAGCTATCATTAATGCTGTTCGTGTGCGACAGTTAGTGAAGCGTGAAGCGCGGATCTTTGCGGTTTTCCTCGAGGAGGTGGAAGCTGAGGAGGGGAAAGGAGGGAGTGCAGCAGCTGGTAAGAAGGCGACTCTTCCTGCTGAGGTGACTGCACCATTAGCAGAGTTCGTAGACGTCTTCCTTGACGAGTTGCCCCATGGGTTACCTCCCAGCCCAGTAGTAGACCATCGAATAGAGTTGGAGCCGGGAAGCAGGCCCGTAGCGAAGTCGCAGTGGAGGTTGAGTCCAGCAGAGACAGAGGAGATGACGCAGCAGGTTATGCATTTCCTAGCGCAGGGGTTCATGCAGGCCATCTAGATCGCCTTGGGGAGCACCGATTCTTTTCGCGCCTAAGAAAGACGGAGGGTTACGGATGTGCATAGATTACCGCGCACTGAACGCCGCCACCGTCAAGATTAGGTTTCCGGTGCCGAGAGTAGAGGATCCCCTAGATGCAGTGCAGGGCGCTAGAGTTTTCTCCAAGATCGACCTTCGTTTGGGTTATCATCAGATTCGCGTAGTTTCGAGAGGACAAGCACAAGACGGCGTTTCGTACGAAGCAGGGGTTGTACGAATTTAGGGTTCTACCGTTCGGATTGACCAACGCCCTAGCGACGTTTCAAACACTCATGAACACCGTCCTCTCCGAGTTCCTAGGTTCATTCGTTGTAGTTTACCTAGACGACATTCTCATATTCTCCAAGACACAAAAGGAGCACGTGCAACACTTGCAGAAGGTCTTCGAGGTTTTACATAGGGAGCAGCTGTACGCTAAGCAGTCGAAGTGCGAGTTCTTACTTCCTGATGTCGAGTTCCTAGGACACGTCGTATCTGCTAGTGGCATTAGGACCGACCCGAAGAAGATCGCAGCAGTACAGGATTGGGTAGCTCCAACCTCAGTCAAGGAGTTACAGAGCTTCCTCGGTTTCGCGAACTACTACCGTCGTTTCGTTCAGGGTTACGTATCGATCGCTAGTGCACTCACCGACCTACTTCGGAAGGGCGTAGAGTACGTTTGAGGTCCAGCGCAGCAGCAGGCGTTCGTACCCTGATTCCACTCGCCCATACGTTGTAGTGACCGACGCTTCAGATCAGGCCATAGGAGCAGTGCTTCTTCAGGACCAGGGACGCGGTCAGCCGATCGCGTACAAGTCGCGTAAGCTTAGGGGAGCAGAGTTGAACTATCCCATACACGAAAAGAAGGCGCTTGCGATCATCCATGCGTATAAGCTGTCAAAGTAATTTTATGTAACTGCTTGTGGTTTAGGTGTAGTGTATTTATCTTGTCTTCTGTTTGGTGGTGCACCTCTAGTTTCTTGACTATATGTTGTATCTCTTTGCTATTATTGCACATTCTCTCCTTTCAACTTTCTCGACACACCCCTTCAACTCGAACTCGATCACTAAACCTTCTCCTAAGCTACTATGGCTCCTAAGCCCAATTCGACTTAGTACTTTGATATAAGGTGTGGAGGTGCTACCTAGAGGGGGCAGATAGTGTGATACGCACGGACCATTGCTCGCTTCGCTTTCTTAAGTCACAGCCGCAGCTGAGTCGTCGCCAGGCTAGATGGGTGGAGTTCATGGAGGGGAGTTTCCACTACAGGATCGAGTATAAGTCAGATGTGCGCAACCCGGCAGATCCGCTCACTCGCCCTAGTTGCCAGCTCGCTAGCCTCACAGTCACTGCCGGCCATCCACTTCTCACAGCACTCTTCGAGCATGGTTATACAGTAGATCCCGACTTCACCCTGCAGCCGCCCGCAGGAGCAGAGGTGCAGGGTAATGTATACATACGGAAGGGTATCACACGGATTTGGGTTCCTGCATACCGCCCACTTCGACAGCTCCTTTCCGAGGCACACGATGTCGTTAGTGCAGGTCACTTCGGAGCAGATAAGACAGCTAGGACTCTTAGTCGCACGTACTTCTGGCCAGGGCTTGCAGCAGACGTAGAGGATTACATTCGCTCGTGCGACACGTGTCAGCATACCAAGTCCTCTCGCCAGCGCAAGGCAGGACTTTTGCAGCCGATTCCACCACTCGACCGCCCTTGGCAGATAGTTACGATGGACTTCATCATGGCTTTACCGCGCACAGTTAGGGGTCACAACGCCATCTTCGTGGTAGTGGATAAGTTTTCTCGAGCAGCGCACTTCATCCCCACGTATGGCAAGGTCCCAACAGAGGAAGCCGCGACGCTGTTCGTAGATAACAGGAAGCCGCGACGCTGTTCGTAGATAACGTAGTCCGACTGCACGGGGTTCCAGATTCCATCATCTCAGACCGCGACCCTCGTTTCACTTCGAAGTTTTGGAAGCAGCTTTTCGCACTTTTTGGGACTCGCTTAGCCATGTCGTCTGCGTACCATCTAGAGACAGACGGACAAACCGAGCGTGTAAACCAGACCTTGGAGCAGATTCTTTGCAGCATCACGATGCACGACGCAGCCGCATGGGACAAGAAGCTGAGCATGGCCGAGTTTGCCTACAACAAAACGCACCACTCGTCCACAGTTATATCACCGTTTTTCGCACTGTACGGTCAGCACCCCAACGTCCCCACTCGTATCAATCTCACACCCACAGTCCCTCGTGCGGACAACTTCCACCACCATCTCACATTCGTCCATGATCACGTGAGGAAGCACCTTGAGCTCGCAAATGCACGCATGGCACGCACCACCAACCGCAGTCGTCGTGAGGTGTCGTTCGCAGTCGGCGACCGTGCTTTTCTTGATAGCCGCAACCTCCGACTGCCACAGGTCAGCAAGCTTCGCCCTCGCTTCATTGGTCCATTCGTCATTGAGCGTGCACTAGGACCAGTCGCACATCGCCTCCGCCTTCCCGCTCATTTCCGCATGCACCAGTCATTCCACGTGTCGCTTCTTCGTCCTTACACTGATCCTAACGCCACCTTCTCGGGCCGTGATCGCACTTCACTGCCGGTAGCTGTTGACACCGACGAGCCCGACTACCAGATCCAGTGCATCCTCAGGCACCGTCACCGTCTCCAGGAGGGTGTCCCTTTCATCGATTTCTTGGTTCGTTGGCGTGGTTACGACACACAGACGACAGCTGGGTTCCTTCGTCCTCGCTGTCTCCCGACAACGTTTGCCTCAAAGCGTACCTTCAGTCTGCAGGCGCCGCGGACGTCGCCTCCTTGGGAGGTGGGTAGTGTTAAGGGGGAATTTACTGTTCCCTTTGAACAGTACTTCCCCAACCCATCCAACTCATCCTTATCCTTATCTTCTTGGATTTCCTAGTGCCACGTGGCACTCTACCTTTCTTGCCTTCAATTCCTAGTCCCACGAAGTACTTTCTGACATTCGATCTTGCATGCTATATCAACCTTGCTTGTTCTTGCCATTATCAATCAATTCTCATTCAACTCTTTTTCAATTACTCAGTAACCTCGCCTATTTCGCCAATAGTTCTTTCGCCAAAGTCTTCCGCCGCGTTTCATCCTCGACTTAGTCGACCCCGCTAATTCTTTAGCGGACTTAGGCCGTCGGGCCTAACAAGCGTAGTAATTTTTTTACTGCAGCTAGTGATTACGATGCTGGCAAATACAGGTAGTTCTTTTCTATAAATCTCAGCTACGGCTTGTCTGTACACTCTATTCCAACCTCGATAGTGTACTCAATCCGTTAGACGTATCAAGTGAGGCAAGGTGTTGGCGGGAAAGAACCAACGAGCCGCGAAGTGTGCGCGACAAGCGCGGGAGGTCCCGGTGTGTGCAGCATCTTTCGTGTCAACGAGACTCAGGTTACTGCGTTGTTTTCGCCACCACCTTTGATTCTCAGCCAATCCCACGTTGTCTTCGGCACATCTCGCTCAACTCGATTGTGTCTTCGCCAAGCAACCGTCCCAGCCACTCGCAAGGAGTTCATTCGGAAACTGTTTGTGCCCTACATATAAAAACCTAGCACAGGTATGATACCTTTTTGGTGTGATCGTCACTTATTCGAGCCTGAGGTCTCGAGAACCTGAAGTAACTGAAGCCGCTGTTCGGTGGTCGAAAGGGCGCGAGTTCGTTTGAAACAGACGTTGTCGACGATGCAGCTTTACCTGTATATCCCGTCAACAATCACAGCGTAGTAACTGTAGAACCTCAGTGTCTTCTTCGCGACGAGTGTGATGGCGTCAGCGGCACGAGCCGCGTTAGATTGCGTGCACTCACCCGTTGAGCAGCTACAGACTAAACATCCCGCAGCCACTCCAAAAAGGCCCCATGTCCGGACGTCGCGTCGATCAGTTGCTAGCATTACGAGAGCACCAGATGCTGTCCTCAGCCGTTTTCCGACTGACTCCTGGCGAAGGTGGGACCCTGGCAGCGCTGAGTTGTGCCATAACCTTCGCGTCGCCTCGCTTTCGTCTATCTGGTTGCGCTGCGCTACTCTACTGCTCTGCCTCTCTGCCCCCCGAGCGCGAAACATTTGGCTCGATTGGGTTTTCTGGTCGTTCTCCTGTTTTGAAACGACAGGGTCTCAAATGCGAAAGGGCTGGCTGTTCCTTTTTGCAGCCAATAATCGTGTTTCCGCTACTCCTCTTTCCGCCACAAAACGTATATTCGTCTTTCTTCTCCCTTCCCCAGACCTGACGTTTCGCGGCTCTCTTCGCTATGCACACCCTCCACCGTCCATCGCCAAATGCCAGTCCGCCGATCCTTAGCTCGCAGCGCCCTCGCCACGTCACCAGGCACGTCAGGTTCGCCAATAACTGCGGTGCCGGACCTGCCGACCGTGTCGGTGGTGATTCCTCTCTTCAACGAGGCTCGGAGCATCCCGATTCTGGTGGAAAGGGTCGGCGACGTGCTGAGCCGCGCGGGGTGGCCACACGAAGTGATTTGCGTGGATGACGGGTCGTCAGATGGTGAGTGAGTGGCAGCTGGGCAGCATGGCAGCAAGGCAAGGTACCTTCAGGCTTTCAGCTGATGCTGACTGTCTTGCTCTTGCTTTAATTGTTGCATACTCCCGCACCTCCTCCACAACTCCATCCCCCCGTCCCCACCCCCTTATTCCCCGTTTATCATTACCCTCCCCTCCCCCCGTCCCTTCTTCCCACCACTCCCTTTTCCAACAGGCACGTCGCTGCTGCTGAAGGCGATGGCAGCGGAGAGGCCGGAGCTGAGGGTGGTGCTGCTGCGATGAACAACCCCCCCTTACCCGCCTCCCTTCCTTGTTCCCACTCTCCTCTCCCCTTCTCAAAAGGCACGTCGCTGCTGCTGAAGGCGATGGCAGCAGAGAGGCCGGAGCTGCGGGTGGTGGTGCTGCGCCGTAACTTTGGCCAGACGGCCGCCATGGCTGCCGGCTTTGACTACGCTGCAGGTCAGCGCTGCGCCCCTGAAAGCCCTGCTGCCCCCTGCAAGCAGTGTGTGGTTGCATTGCATGCAGTCTGACAGTAAAAGCGCCTCTCATGTGCTCGCATTTCCACTGAATCGGATATTCAGCCTCTACCCTCTCATGCGTACGCTCTGTCTCTCAACGCGCCTTCTCTTCGTGCTTCCCCCGTCCCCCCTCCCCCTCTTCTCGCCCTCCTCCGCTCACATCCCCCAGGTGACTTCGTAGTGACGCTGGACGGCGACTTGCAGAACGACCCGTCAGACATTCCGCGGCTGCTGCGCCTGCTGCTGCTGGGCCGCAAGGGCGCCGTGGGGCAGGAGGCGGGGGCGCGGTGGGTGGCGGGCAGGGAGCGTGACGGCGGCGGGTATGACATGGTGTGCGGGTGGCGGCGCGCGCGGAGAGACGACTTCCTCTCGCGCAACCTGCCCTCTGCTGTGGCGAATCTGCTCATTGGGGCCGTCACCGGGGTATGCTCCCTCACAAGAACTCATCCCTCTGCTTTTGGAGGGTTTATTTATTCATCTCAAGGGGTGTTTCTGCCACACGGACATGCTTCCACTCCTTTCCACTTGCACCATTCTGTTTCCGGTTTGATCCCTTCCCTGCTCCGCCCGCTTGTTCCCCCCCTGTGCGTACTCCCTCGGGCAGGTGCGGCTGCACGACTACGGGTGCAGTCTGAAGGCGTATCGCGGGTCGCTGGTGCGCTCCATGCGCCTCTACGGCGAGCTGCACCGCTTCCTGCCCGCCCTCGCCGCCATGGAAGGCGCCTCCATCTCCGAGCTCGAGGTACTGGGGTGTGGGAGGGGGGGTGGGGGGGGGAGAGGGAGTAGTAGGAGGAGGAGGGGAAGGAAAGTGTTTGAAATGAGTGCCTGCAAGGCCTGCCGTCCGGTTCACACGTGTCTTTGTAGATGATTCTGGTTGAAAGCAAGACTTTCGACTTGTGTCTATACAGTAACTTACTCCCTGTGCATGTGCCCATGTACCTTTATCTCTTGTATGCTGCCTCTTCCCAACCCGCCCACAACCCTTGCAGGTGTAGCACCATCCACGGCAAGTGGGGGTATCAAAGTACAACCTCTCACGCACACCGCGTGTGCTCGTGTCCCCTGTTTCCCATATGCTTGTCCCCCCCTCTCCTATCCACACCCATCGCAGGTGCAGCACCATCCACGGCAAGTGGGAGTGTCAAAGTACAATCTCTCTCGCACGCCCCGTGTGCTCGTGGATCTGCTCACTGTCGCCTTCCTTACGCGCTTCCGAGACCGCCCCATGCACTTCTTCGGTCCCCTCGCCGCCCTCACGCTCCTCGCTGCCGCCGTCTTTTTTGTCCTCTTCTGCGCGGCGGCGCTCAAGGCGGCTGCAGCCTACGGGGTGGGCATGGCTATGGTGGTGGGAGCAGCACACCTGGTGGCGTCTCTTGAGTTTGTTGTTGCTGGATTCGTTGTAAGTGCCAGGCTCATCCCGCAGCGTCTCACTCCTCACTGCTGCCCCTCCTTCCGTTCACTGACTTGCCTTCCCAGCTCTTCCCCTCTCTTGCCTTCGCTTTCCGTGGCTTGCCATGTTTGCGTGTGTGATGCTGTGCCTTCTCTAGCCGTTGCTCCCGATATATCCTGTACTGTTGTCTCCCCACATCATTCCCGTCTCTTCTGTATACCCATCAATGCTCCCAGCTGTTTGGGCTAGGCCTGGTGGCGGAGCTGTGCATGAGGACGTACTACGAGGCTCAAGGAAGATCTGTGTACCGAGTGAGAGAGGTTGCCAACTGATAAGGCCTACGAATGAGGGGAGGACGACAGACTTGTGAAAAAGTCGCACAGGGGTGTGGTGTGGAGGCTGGCATCTGTGTTGCTGACATTGGTTTGCTTCAGTGTAGAAAATACTTCAGGCTGTGCTTTTTACATGGTAAATATCAAGACCTAGTGCTAGCTTCAATCTGACATCACATGACATGCAATGCCATGTAGAAGCCTCAGTAATGGTGGTGATAGCTAACTGCAATTTTGTATCATCCTGCAAAAAGGAGTTTGTTACTGGCATTAGCTCCACTTAACCAATTGCATATCGTAGTACCGGTATGTTCGTATAGAACCTTACAGGCAAATGATTTACACTTATGTACAGAGGAAAATCCTCCGTCCCAACTACAGCTTGAGCCAATTTTCGAGGAATCAGAGCCTCCTTGTAGTGAAGCTAGACGAATGCGGAGCTCCCCTTGTCATGTTGGAAAACCCTAGAGAAAGGGATCTCAATAATCCTGTCAAAGAGAATGGAGTCTCCTGAGGTGGCGAAGAGCTGAAGAGTGGAGGGGCCACATTGCGAACTGTCAGTATTGTGGGGCCAATTTCCTGACGAATGGCCTCAATGATGCTGAAATCAACAGGGCGATTGGCGGAGTCAGTGACGTAAAACTCGTTCACTGCTTTTCCCCAGCGTGTACATATATTAGCAGCAGTGATGGAGAGGTTGTGAGTTTGGAATACTCGTGTGACGTCGCACAGCAAGCCAATGCGATCTCCAGTGCAGAGGTCAAGGCACAAACCCTGCCACAGAAGGAATCCCACAACACGTTGTATCCATGCCACATGCAGACAGTAGAGAAAATCATTAGCCTCGCCTCGGTTTCAATATAAGAGCATCAATAGAGCGCCAGAAATGTAGCTCACCCTTGGGCTGCGCCGCAGAATAGCTGCTTCAAGACATTTGCCAACTCGCTCCCTCTCAGCCTCAGTGTCCAGCATGGACCCATCCATGGTTCTGACGTAGTACTCCTGAGAACAGGCATAGAAGCAATATCATAAGGAACATAACAGAATGCAGAGAAGTAGCGAGGCATGGTGACGTAAGGAGTGCTAACCTGATGTGCGATGTCATTCTCAGACTCGATCGTAGCATGGTGAATAATGTACTGCATGTCTGTCAGTGTGCAGACCGTGTCAAACAGAAGCTTCCGTCGATCCACACAGGTCAATTTGATGATTGTGTACTGAGACTCTGGAGAGTTCGCCACAGAAACGCTGGGCCGCACTTTTTCCTCAACCACACCTGCAGGGAAAGCATTGAGGCCCATCGTTTCATAGTCTCTATCCGCGAATAGTAGCTGATGGAGCCTCCGATCAGTTTGAGCCTCCCCAACAAAAAAGCTGCTCCGAGATTCAATCCTGATGCTATTTGACTCCATCACAGAGCAGAGTCTCTCACGCATTTCAGCCAAGACAGCAGCGTCACTAACAGGTCCTCCGTTACTAGCCTCAGTGACGTGTAGGATAAAAGCTACGCGGTTATTGTGTGTCCAAACTTCTGCTCCCACCACGTTGCATCCCAGCTTCGTCAACACCTCCGACACCTCGTAGAGAATCCCTGGGCGGTCATATCCCGTGAGCTCTATGACGGAATGCTCGAAGTCTATTGCATCAGCGACAGGCTTTCCTAGGCAGGTTTTTGCATCGGGAACAGGATGTTCTTTCGAAGCACCCAGTGCCTGCAAACGCGATCGGAGAGCATTTCAGCATGTGAGTAGAGGTCCGTCCGCGAGAACGCTAACCACAGAATGAAGCTTACCTTTTCAATAAAGCGAATGAGGCTTTTGTCAGTTACTTTTTGACCCAATTGATCCACAACGTGAAACACTGAAAGAGACAAAACGGAAAGGGTGTCAAAGCTCCTATGATGAAGAAACGACGCGAATTACGTGGATCTAAAGGTACGTACCATCCACAAACCAGCCGCCATCTGAGGAAATGTAAGCTTTGGAGATCACGAGATCAAGGTCAGTTAGAAGCTGCACGACTTGAAGAAGGCAGCCTTGCTTATTTGCGCTATCCACTTTGACAAGAGTCGAGACTGGATCAGAATGGTTGTCAAAAACAACCCTGGATGTGACAGCACAACCATCAGTCAACGCCGAAAAGGGAAAAGCCTTTGTGTTTGTGTAAATATAAGCGGGTAAGCTTCACCTGGGTGGATTGACACGTAATGCAGCCTCTTCAAAGCCTGCAAAAAGGAAACACTCTCACTAAGCCACGGATGGAAACAATACTCTTGACAACAGTGGAAAGACTAGTCACCTGAGGATCTTGCCATTGAAATCTTCGGCTCGAATGAAATTGGCGATGGAGACAACGCCATGTGATAGCCTGTATGTTTCGAAAGTATTCCTCTAGCGTGTTTAAGGAACACACACAAGGTTACCCTTATCTCACGCGACCAACTTTGTCAAAACCACATCTGACGCCCGCAAGTGTGCCCAAGTCTTCAATGAGCACTTCGTAAGACATTAACTACGGGATAGTGGTGCCAAAAACGCTAACCTGCAAATCGATCGCCGGCACTGTACTCTAGACGAGCGGCTAACAGTGATTGGAAATGATGGAACACGTAACGTCGGCGAACTATGCAGCTAGCAGTCTACAGTAGCTGTTGGAGCTAACTTGATCAGGCCTCCTAGGTTGCAGCAGTCAGAGGATGGGACAGGGAGGGATCCCCTTCGAAACTCCAAAGCACAATCCTGCTTTCACGTCGGTCTACGGGCTGGATCCAGCACAGCCACCAAAAACTGACGAAGCAACGAGTTCGCAAAAGCGACCCCAAACCAAACCCTCAGATACCACCACCTTTCACTGTCCCCCCTTCGGTGAAGAATGTGCATCGTAGGTGCTTTCGGCACAGGAGTGCAGTGAGGTTTATAAGGCTTTTAGTTGAAAACGCTGCATCTACGGTAAGCTTACATGCACATTCCTACCCTAAGTAAGGTTCTGAATGAAGTGCTCATTCGAAGTAGTCTCTTTGCTTCCATGCACATTCTCTACCATTAATTGCACCGATTCCCTTCTTCCTGATCATCTAGGAATGTGCAAACCACATAAATGTAAGTCACAATCTTAGCTGAGACAAGCACATTGCCAAACCGAAGGGCTATATGTGTACACACTGCAATTCATGCTCTCTCAGTCAGGGCACTCCAGCCAGACATTGGCTAGTCTGGTCTGAGAAGCTAGACTTCAGACATTTCTCTTACCGTACATGACTGCCTCTCATATTTGCTTGGGGCTTACCAAGCGAAATCGGGCATAGGGGGGAGGTAAATTGAACGAGATGTGCTTCAAGAGGGGAGGAACTCTTGTTGTGAGAAGTGCAAGGAACGTGGATAGGGGGAGAGGGGATGGTGGGAGAGGAGTGTATATTGTAGGTTTATTTATAATGGTGATGGCGAAAGGGCTGAGGAATACGTAGCTGAGAAAAGTTAGAAGTGGGTGGAAAAAATAGGATCCACGAGTAGATAAAAGAGTGATTGGGTGAGTTGGGCTGTGAGGGTGAGAGATGAAGAAGGGGGTCGGGATGTGTGCGAGATGCTTGAGGAAAGGTCTGGGGGTGGTTGGTTGGGCTGCAAGAGAGGAGAGAGAAGTGTCAAATGTTGTAGCCTGTAGTGAGGTTTGTCTTAGGGGGTACAGAAGTTAGGGTTTGTTATATGTACCCCAACCAACATCAATGGCATCATCATTCCTCATTTTGACATGGTATCAGCTAGGTTAGGATCCTGTGGGATCCCGTTCCTCCGTTCTCCGTTCGTCCCTCCCGAGCCTGATCCTACCTCTCGTTCGTACCGGTTCCGTTGTTACCGCGCCTAGTACCGAGCCTAGCGCCCTCTCCCCCGTCGCTTAGCGCCCTTTCTCCCCGTCGCCTAGCGCCCTTCCCCCCCCCCCCCCCCCCCCCCGTCGCGTCGCGCCCTTTCCCCCCGTCGCCTAGCGCTCTTTCCCCCCGTCGCGTCGCGCCCGTTCCCCCCGTCACGTCGTGCCCGCCCTTTCCCCCCCGTCCCGTCGCCCTGTCCCGTCGCGTCGCCCTGCCCCGTCCCGTCGCCCTGCCCCGTCGCGTCGCCCTGCCCCGTCCCGTCACCCTGCCCCGTCGCGTCGCCCTGCCCCGTCGCGTCGCCCTGCTCCGTCCCGTCACCCTGCCCCATCGCGCCGCCCTGCCCCGTCGCGTCGCCCTGTCCCGTCCCTACGCCCTGGCCCGTCGCCCTACCCTACGCCCTGGCCCGTCGCCCTACCCTACGCCCTGGCCCGTCGCCCTACCCTACGCCCTGGCCCGTCGCCCTACCCTACGCCCTGGCCTGTCGCCCTACCCTACGCCCTGGCCCGTCACCCTACCCTACGCCCTGGCCCGTCGCCCTACCCTACGCCCTGGCCCGTCGCCCTACCCTACGCCCTGGCCCGTCGCCCTACCCTACGCCCTAGCCCGTCGCCCTACCCTACGCCCTGGCCAGTCGCCCTAGCCCGCTCTTCCGCTGCGAATGAGTCCCCTTCCCACCTGAACCCTAGTTTGCCTCTTCTCCCCGGTTGTTACTCGCCTGTTCGTTCGCGTTAGTTCTCACTATGGCGACTCCGCGAGTTCTTCGTTTCGACGCTCACGGTAGACCACTTGACTTTTCCGTCTGGCTTCTTCGCGCTCGCCGTCTGTTAGAGAGTCAGGTCCAGGGGGGCGAGACCCTCTGGTCGTACGCTACTGGTGACCTCCCCGAGCCCCCCGAGCCTACAGCTTTAGGCTCTGCCCCTGACGACGCTGCTACGGCTCGCTTTGCCCGTCAGCGCGCTGACCGGACGGCTTGGACGTCGCGTGACGCTGCGGCCTGCATCGCACTCAGCAGCCTCCTCCCTTAGTCAGAGGAGGTCCACTTTACTCAGGTTCGCACAGCTGCTGCGTACCTCACTGCGATTAAGGCCCGCTACTCTACTCCCGCTACTGTCTCTCTTGGCCGTCTTTTCCTCCCGTTCCT